AAATTTTAAAGTTCTAAATTGACAGACGTGACTTGTTCTTGTCCTGATTTATTATTACTGATTTATTCTCGTTTTCGACTTGGATGACATGAGGTCAACGTGGAGCACAATAACCTGTTTATCGTGCATCCGATGTTTCTGCTACAATATCAAATCAAGAATAATAATCAAGGTGGCTTATGGGTACTATACTCATAATAACGACAACATATTCCAGTACGATCATCCCATTTATTATTGCATAATGACTTATTATTCCTGACTGATTTACTTATTCTAGCTTTCAGTGACATGGGTCCAACGTGCAGTGCAGTTTATCGTGGATCTGATGTTTCTGCTACAAAGCAGTAATAATAATCAAGGCACTCTACTAGTAATAATAATAACAGCAATCATCAGATTTATTCTTGCATCCTGACTTATTATTACTGACTGACTGATTTATTCTAGTCTTCAATGATATGAGTCCAACGTGTAGCGCAGTTTATTCTGGGTCCGATGTCTCTGCTACAATAATCAGTGCTCAACAGGGCAGCTCATGAATGCTCTAACATGTTACCATCACAATACATCGCTTTCCATTGAACGTTACTCTTTCGGCCGAAGCTTATGTTTGAGGCTCGGCCGCTCTAGAACTGGTGAGTACTCATCATGGGTATTCTACCAATAGCAATATATATTACACAACATCGAATTATGTTGAACTCAAATACTTTCGGGCAGAAACTTATGCATGAGGCGGATCACGGCCGCTCTACATAGCACTATTCCCTCCGTGCGCAGTGGTCTTTCCTCCTCCTTTTTCCATATTCATCCAAAAAAATTCTAAGCTCTATGGGCACTCTCAAACAACATGTTATTGCGCTGGACATCATCAGAAGTAAATTACGATCAGGTTTGAGGCGGATCACGGCCATCCCAACAGTGCCAGCTACCCTCCAAGTTCCCCGGTCGGCCGGGTGCCAGTATTCTTTGACGCCTCTTACACCATCCTTCTATATCCTTCTGCTATTTTTTACCCTGGATCCTCGAGATAAAGGGGTTCTGATCTCTTCAGTTCTATGATACATCGTCGCTATCAGTAACTCTAACAATCATTTAAATCCCCATCCTCGTTTCTCTAGAAATATTTAGTCGGATCCACACAATAGTTCACCTATTGCCCGGCATCGGTATCGCGCTCATCATGCATCATAATGCATCCTCACCAATTGATCCATCAATTCAACACAAAATCAGCTAGGCACTGCATACTTATACATTCTTAGTGCATACCTATCCTTAGGCGTACCAATAAACCAGGTACCACCGCGCACTTCAATCAACCACTGCCGCAGGACGCCGTTGAAGTGTTCCGATTCAGGTAATTTTAGTAAGGATTTTAATTCCAGGGCATACGTTTATACTAAGGACTTAACTCATATCGACAGGTCACGGCCTCCACTACACTTCATGCTTATGCTCAACCAGGCTTTCCTAGATACAGGGGCAAAACTTAAATCTGAAGGTAAACTCTCTTTCCTCCCCGCCTCGCTTAGATATCGGCTCATATGAAGTAACAGCCTACTGTATGCATTGTGATTCGGCTTCGTTCGAATTTCCATATCAAGTCCCAGAGCAACGCAAAACATCGACGTCGCTTGAATGGAGGCTGAGCCGTGATAGCGTTGAGGGGATTTCTGATACTTTGTAGATCACCGCCCAAAGCCAGCAAACCGGTCAGGAACATTTAAAGCGAAAACTGAAACGTTAGTCGGACTCGAAAGCGGATATCACCCAGGTATAACAATTCGGCCCTATGAACTCAAAATGATCAGGCTGATCCACCTTACCATTGGACCGAACACTCTCCTATGGCATATCACCACCATGTGAGGCAAGGTAGGCGATCCTCACGAAGATTCTTATCTCTCGTCCTGGTTCCCTCTGGTGGCGCGTCTGTTCGCTTTCCCAGTTTTGGCTGCAGACCGCCGTGTCTTCCCTGCTGCCATGAGTATAACCTAGTAGATACTCTCTTATATTATAACTGATAAAGCCTGTCGAAATCCAAAGGCTGGCCGGCTCAGATAGGCCTATAGCCTGAGTACATGCATATGAAGACCTCTTTTACGGACAATGATAATCCAAGCGCATGTCAAGATCTATTATATGCCCCTTTCTATCATACCCCCGGCATTCTCATGTTATCTTCTTCCTCCTCCTTATCGAATTGGCTAAATGCAGTCGAAGGACATCCATTATGGACTTCAGGTAAATCTCCTCTCGAGCCTCAATCAAGGATTTAAAATCTGGATTCATATCAGTGCTTTGTATATCTTCCCGGGTTCATGATCTAATTTCCCAAATAGGCAGATAAGACTAATTTAATGGAGATACCATACCAATCCTATCATCCATCCTATTATCCAATTAGGGAGGTATTACACTGGCACGCTCACGCCTAAGGGAACAGATGAGCCAGCCGCCAGTGAGCCTGACTTGCATTTCACTTCAACTTGGCAGCTGGCATGATTCTTTTCCAGTGTAGAGTCCTATGTTCTCGTAAGATTGATTAATCGATTTCTCGTCGAGGTGCGGCATGTCTCTTCAAGATATAAATAAATAAAAATGATTTCCAGGAACAAGTACAAGCCCTGAGAGGATGCATTAGATGACATTCGTAAGAAGGCTGTACTTCCTCACTTGTAGGTATTGGCTCGCTCTTACTATTCTATTTCTGAATTCACAATCTGGTGTATCGCACCTGCCTCTTGAGTCGGGCATTCACCATCCAGTCTATTCACTTAACTCTTCAGCCACAGTCTGTTTGCCAATTTTGGAGACCAATATGCCCGAAGTCGACATTCATCTCCAATTTTTTGACACTACATCAATTTCATGGCAGGACGATCGACCTAGAGCTTCTGGTTCCTCTCAACCTTCTCTCGTGCAGTGCAGTGCAGTAGCATTGTTCCTAATAATGAATCAACACATTCTTGTCTCAACACATTCTTGTCTCAACTCGAACCCCGTGTTTCGTGCCAGTCTACGTATGAACCCTATTTATCTGTTAACGAACCGCTTCCTTCATTATCCACCGTTTCAAAGCTATTCATAGATTACCCGTCACCGTCCCTCGAAACCCTCAAACTGAGTGCATCACAACATCGCCGCTGAACGTATATCAATCAAATAAAAAGGGGAATATTTCAAATATAGTCTTCTATTGCACATTCCTTGAGCTCTTTCCCCTCAATCCTACGCCAAAAACTGGCTCCTATTTCCGGAGATCACTGGCATTATGGATATCGAAATCATCGGAATGACAGGTGAAACCACATCCCTGGATGACAATCTTGTTGCACAGAACCCAACAGCGAAGTTGACATATTATTACAGAAATCATTAATACTGCTCAGTATGCCATTCCAGTTGCGAAGGCCCGGACCGGTGTTGGTTTCAAAGATGAACATGGTCTGTGCGTATATGTGGAGCATGGGTAGCTTGAAAAATGAGCGACGCGCTCGGAATGGCCGAAAAAAAAGATCTGATAACCCTTTGCAAAAGAAAAACTGTCGCGAGAATTTATCCGCGCCGTAATCCGAGGCCCGAGCGCATCACGATGGCCGCGCCGTATACTAGTTCGGCGCTGGTGGGTATCCTCGAAGTCGCAATGATATGCGATGGGAATGCGGAAATGTCAGTCAGAAGTATTTCATACAGTCAGGGCTTGTGTGTTATCTATAATAGAGTGTCAAAGAAGTGGAATAAATGGCAAACCGTACAACAGAATAAGTAACCAGTCACATAATGTAGAAGAATTCACAGTTATCATTCTTGGGTGAATTTAATTTGTCAGGTGTGTTGCCCATCGCACAGTGGTGCGGAGGGGTTCTCATCCGACGGAAACGTGACAATTTCCGTCAAAATATGGATATTAATTTTATAAAATTAAGTTAGGACTCCTCGTTAGACCAGGGTGCCTTAAGCTTAATGAACTTCTTGTTTATATGCAACATACAAGTTTTCCTTAATCTTCAGTCGATGTCTGCCCCTCATCGAGGCTTTTCTCTTTCCAGCTCTGATCAGGGTCTCCTACTCTCTACCACGTACAGTCCATAGATCGACTAGATTAGTAAATGCGACTATGGACCTGAACCAGGGTCTCTTGGCCTCTAATATCCCTTTCTACAAAAGTTTAAACGAGTTCCGTTACCCGCTCAAACTGTTTCAACACCAATTTCCGCTTCAACAGTTCATCCAGGATCGCCTTCTTAACTAGGTAAACCTCACCGAACTCGGTTTGATCGACTAACATCGTCCCTGTGTTTCGCTGTGGAGTATTCTTCGCGCCACTGTGTAGTGTACCTGGATCTGGAGGCTTACCTGAGTACATAGGTAAGAGAGTAAAAAGGGAGCATACGGGTGACGGGGTTTTGGTAGGGTCAAATGCAAGGCGCGACGCGCTAGGATCCGGAGGGTGTAATCCTTGGAACGAATATAAATATAACCGTCAACTTTTTACCAACCTGGGTTGTCGTGGAAGGGTCTTTCTGATTCTCTTTGTGCAGGGTGCAGGTACGGTGATGGATAAGTATACATGCTGGCTTAGACTCAGGTATGTGTTGTTCCTTAAAAGCTTCAAAGAGAAAACTATAGTATCCCGGGAATAGATATCTCTTTAAAGCGTTCATTGTGATTAAAAAAAAAGAGGCATATCCTCACCTAACTGACCTCCAAACAGATTTCAAAGCAGAGACATGATCGACGGAGGGAGAGAATGAAAAGACATTATTGACAGTGAGGAAGCCTTCTAATGACCCGTTCATATGAATCAAGTATTGAACTCCAAAAAGAATGTTCATTAATTTTGAAGGACGGAGATTTTCCATCTTCTTTCGGCTCTTCACTGTGTGCACAATCACGAAACTAACTTGCCTCTATTCGAGATACTTCTTAATGTCTCGATAACTTAAAGCATAGATCTAGACGTGAGGCTATGAAAGAAAGGGGTTTAAACTGGCCGCCTGGCGAAATGGCATCGCGTCTGACTACGACTTGCTTTGAAATCAGGAGATTGCAGGTTCGACCCCTGCGGTGGTCATCATTGTATTTTTTTACCGTTGAAAATGTCTCTGAATCAACCACAATTGATACTTCTGTCTTGCCGTTTTTACACGCTGAGAACTATTACTGACCTGCGGTGACGATAAAGGCAAAAGGGATGACCACCGCAGGGGTCGAACCTGCAATCTCCTGATTTCAAAGCAAGTCGTAGTCAGACGCGATGCCATTTCGCCAGGCGGCCAGATATTAGGAAATGTCTGGGACGACCCCGGGCAGGTCACCGTCGAAGTGACGACGAAGCCTTGTGAAGGCGTTGGCTCTCGAGTTGCTCAAATATTTGCGTGGTAAAAGGTGCAGAATAAATGAAAAACGTGAGCAATTTATGGAGAGGAATGTGTCCCAAAGGGAGACGAAGCTGTGTTTTATCTTGACGAAGTATACGGCGTATTAGCCGCTAAGTAAGCTTGGAACTCGATGAACGAAGTCATGACGTTCAAGATTTTTCATTTATGTAAGGCGATGGAATCCGCTAACTACTAGTAGTAGAAAACAATATTTGAGATCAATTCGTGACTTACATCCACACGCTTCAATTTCTTTCTGAATCGTGATAAATGTTTGATCTTTCGACTCTCCTACTACATAATTTTATTCGTATGCGCAGTTATAAATTTCTATAAGCAATCCACGCCAAAGGTTGAATCCGAAGTATAACGTTCTACTCCCGATTTTCCAAGTTCCGTATAGTAAACAGACAAGTGAATAACCGGGAGTGGAGGAAAGAAAAAAAAGAAAAGTAGAGGTCCCTTCTCGAAGTGGCCAACTTGACGAGGCAGGGAACTCTCATCTCCGTCGTGTTCCGGGGAGGACTGAGAAGAAAAATAGTAGAAAGAAGGAAAGAAAGAAGAAGAGCTGCCTTCTCGAGTAGGATGTGGTCAACACCCTGACGAGGAAGGCACCCTCATCTCCCTCGGACACAGGGAGGACTGAGAAGACAAGAAACAATAAAAATAGCGAAGAGAAAGAAAGGGAAGAAAGACGGGAACTTACGAGGCGAGACGAGCACCAAGAATAAAACGCAGAAATAAAGACCAGTATGAAGCTCAACCCGAAGGGAACGACAGGGACTGGGTGATCACCTGCACACCTCAAGTGCGTCGGGCCAGCTGGCAGACAAGACAAATAGTATCTCGCCAGCCCAGGAAACTCGAAGCGTTGCATGGCAGCCACATACAGAATGAGGACAGCCCAAAAACGTATTTAATAAACGATCACAGCACGTAATGGGTTAGCCCGTGGAAATTAAAGAGTAGACGAAGGGATGTGACCAAGAAACAAGAAAAAAAGCAAAGAAATAAAGACCAGTGTGAAGCTCAACCCAAAGGGAACGACAGGAACTGGGTGTCCATCAGCACATTCCTCAAGCGCATCAGGCCAGCTGGCAGACAAGACAAGTAGTATCTCGCTAACCCAGGAAACTCGAAGGCGTTGCATGACAGCCACATACAGAATGGGGCCAGCTCACCAACGTATTTAGTGAACAGTCGCAGCACGCGGTGGATACTGGCCGTCGAAAGTAAAGACAGAAGAATATAAGGAGAGAGGAGGGAGGAACCGAGGGAGAGGAGAGGAGGTGGTGGTGGTAAGAGGGAAAGGAGCGATGTCTGTAAACGCCCACCCTCGTTCTCCTTTATACCCTGAGGTGCGGTCCTCGAATTTTGGTTCCGGGGCGGGTATGTCCGAACCCTTAGTTGTTTAATTGCTTCGTCAAGATTGTTACAAAATAAACGTGAATAAGAATATAGCTTGAAGTATCGTTCCTTGTTGATCTATAAGTTACCTCTAGTAAGTAGTATTCTATATCAGGAGAATGACAGACCGAAGCGCTCATAATTCTCAATATTGATCTGATCAACTTATCATCACAAACTTGAATCAATAGACATTTTTTTCACTATAAGACCAACTTGGACAACGACAATGAATGCCCCGAGTAAGTATAAACCGCCAGATAAATAAAGAAGATGGCTTTGTCTATCGGACATGCCACACGGGAGTTTGGTTGTAAAAATGCTCTTTCAGAATCCATCACTAATTCCTTCGCACTCCATTTTGCTTTCTGATTGGGTTCATTTTATAATAAAGTTATACTTACTTACTCTCCAATAAACAGTGACCCGCAAGACCGAAAGTACTATCAATATTCCACGAGCAAAAATATGCATCGGATACACCAACCGCTTGCCAATCCGTACGCATGACTAATATGACAAGAAAGGATATTAGGTGAAATATCAACCCAAATTTAAACTGACCCAAAGTTCCCCAACTAGCCACCTGGGACGATTTGGTGATGTATTATACGAGTAGTGAATAAGAAGAAATACGCCCAATGATGTTCAAAATTAAATTAAGTAATAAATAAAAAGACCAAACGTACAGCCGCTGCCCGCATACCGGACTTTCCCAACACCTTCCAACAAACTCGACTGATTCCAAGCGAGAACGCAGTGGTGATGCGGCTTCTAACAGCCTGAGGACATGGCAACTTGTAGGAATATGGAACCGGTAACCGGAATACGAATTCGCTTCAGCTCGCTAGAATCTTTCAGATCTCATGTCTTCTCATGTTCACCGTGAGATTTGCAGGACACTAGAAGATTCTCTTCTTTGGCGATGAAGTTTATTCTGAATTAAATATATGCTATCCATCTACATTAAGAACGACATTAAGACCCTAGCCTATATTATTAAATTTGAAAACGATATTGATCATGTTGAGTCGATGCTAGATTAAGACAGCCCGCTTTCCTCGTGGTAAAACCTTGAGGGTAATTTATGGGTAGTACGGTACGAAGCCGCTGTCACGCCTACCATCCGAAGAGTAAGATTTATTTGACCGTATCTTGATCTATATATCTGGGTTTAATAATGGGCAAGGGGGCGCTATGGTAGTGGCAATCGGTTTCGTACACACATTGACCCCAGTATAAAATGTAAATTATGCAGCAAGGTGTGCCACAAGAATACGTACAAGGATACTTTTCGTAAGGATCGCTTCAAGCTTTGTGTGGTTGTCTCCTCGTATTCCAAAGCGACCCGGGACGTCTCATAGACAACTCCGTATGAATTGGTGGGATTGTATAGTACTGTGTCATCCAACGAACACTACTTCTCCCGCCTTCACCGCGGTTTCGACATCTTCCAAAGCAGCTATGCGGAGATATATACCATTACTGAGGAATTTGTTCGAAGGATGGTGCAAACTCGTTCAGGTTGATTTCGACATTTCTGCCATTAGCTAACCAACAATGTGAGGGTGGGCACGGTTGATGACTCCGATGAGTCGCACGATATGGCGAGATATAAAAGCTTTCGAAGGATGACATGGATCAGTTGATTGCCCGTATTACAGCTTCTAGGCGTAGTCGAGATGAGATCCCCTTAGAATGATAACCAGTAATGTGAGGGTGGGCACGGTTGATGACTCCGATGAGTCGCACGATATGGCGAGATATAAAAGCTTTCGAAGGATGAAATGGATCAGTTGGTTGCACCGATTACAGCTTCTAGGCGTAATCGAGATGAGATCCCCTTGGAATGAAGTCGACCGAAGAGAAGTTAGTTCGTCACGTAGAGTCCGACACTGGTGTGACCACGAGCTTTGGACAAGCTTATGCCTCGAAGAATATTTTTATCTCAGCTTGAGCCATATTTCCTCTATCCTCAGGTACGATATACTTATAAAACCAGCATTAGTATGTAAATTCTTGAGTCCTTCCCACGGTCTAGTATCGACGCCAGGGTCTACCATTCTCGTAGCCGATTTTGCCACAGCCCGCGATAAATACTTATTCTGAAAGCTAAACTGACAGAACCCCACTTTATTTAAATAATCCCCTTTGCAACTAATTTCCATTATACACGAATACATCCGCTCATTTGGACAAGATCCTTTTTCGATGTGGCAAAACCTTTTGGAATTCTGCCCTCATAGGGCATATCAACTCAGCTTTGCCATTCAGCAACTCTAACCAAAAGCTTCACAATGAGCCTTGACATCAATGATTTCCGTAAATATTCGGTTTCTTTGAAGATTTGGCTGGAAATGAAGCAAGGTCTACGGTTGCCGAGAGGGTCGTGGATTAAATTGCGATCACGGATTTGTGACTCGCAGTTTGCCCGCGACCGTAACTCGAGATATTTTTTTACCTCATTATATATTTAGCTATTGCCATCAGGATCGGTAGAGAAATAGTCTTTTTGCCTCATTATATATGTTATTTGAAAGAATTGGCGACCATCGCTAGAACGTATGCTAGATGGGGTCCTGACTCACAACTATCTCAATCCACTTTGGCCGAACGGTAATGTTCAGTGGATTTGGATTTTTCTCCTGATCCTCCCTTTAGCAGTACAAGGTTCAAATCACATGCTGGCTGTTATTTATTTATTTATTTTATGTATCTTCTGTAGTATTGAGCTAAGTATGTCTCAGTCTAGACATGGGATTTTTTGTAAGGGAAGGTGGGGGAGAACTGCGAGAAATCGAAGAAATAATCTCCCCTTGTTTGAGATCAATTTCAAGACTTCCCCCTCTCCCGGTTTCTTGGACACTTATGCTCGCAAAATTAAAGTGTAAGTACTTTAGAGTTGATAGCAAAGGTCCAGAGACGGAGAACAGTTTATACACCTCCATGCCTCCCCCTCCCTGACAAGGAAAAAAAGAAAAGAAAAGAAATTGACATACCGTAAGTCAAACAAAGAGACTAGAATGAGAACTCACAAGCATCCCAACCATTGGACCACTAGGCTACAGACCCTTAAGGTCAGACGGTTGTGTACGGCGTCACATTCGTGTCCAATTACATGAACCTTCTGAGGACCCTCTACATAAGAAAAATTAGACTAAACGGATTAATAGACTACCTATTTTATTTTATTAACGCTTTATATGATGCCGTTTACGTTGTGCGCTGGATTTCTTCAACGGTTAATGAAGGGGACCGGGAAAATGTCGGGCAGTCTTGTGATTGG